TGTGATACTAAACATGACGTCCTCCACCCCAGAACGTTTCCGCCGTTCCGGTTTTGGGGTGTGACACAACCCCTTAATCCTCTTTCCTCTCCCTCTCGTTCGCTACTGGAAGAAGAGAAACGGGGCAGCTAGAGCCACCGCTACAATCATCAAACACCCATTGCCTTATCGCCGCCATTAACTCCGATTTAGGGTAAGATCAGTATGTTTATATGCTACAATTTGTTGATTTAGGGGTTCTTCGAATACAACCATTTGAGTTTTTGTGTTGTTTTCTTCTTCTGGTTTTTACAGAAACAGTCATGGAGGGCAGTTTTGACATTGGCGTATCAAAGTTTGTGTGTTGTTTGGGGGGTGATTTTCTAATTGAAGCTGATTTAAGCTTTTTAATCTCCCTTCCTCTTCCTTTCCCTCTCGTTTTCTTCTTCTGGTTTTTACAGAAACATCATTCCTAATTTGGGGATCTTTCTAGGTCTTGATCTAGATCACTCTATGCTTTTCTAATTGAAGTATGTATTGGGTGGATTATGTGTATTGTTTAAGTTGCAGATGAAATGAAAAGAGACAAGGAAGAAGAGAATGGGGGTGTTTGGGGGGGTGATTTTCTTCTCACATGTCCCGTAAGAGAGAGAGAGAGAGAGAGAGAGAGAGAGAGAGAGAGATTTTTCTTTTTTCTTTTAATCTGAAAAAATCTTTATAATAAAAAAAATGAAAAAGAAAAAGTAAGGGCAAAATCGTCATTATGAAAAAGTTAATAGTAAATTGGACCAAACTCGCAAAAAAAATGAAAAGTTTGGACCTCTGGTGCTAGTCCAAACCTTTTTGGACCAAAGTGGCAATTTTTTACAAACTACAGGGATCATTTGTGCAGTTTTGTCTTGACAAAAATAATTGGAAGCTTTTGAAATATATAAAATTACAAAAATGATACCAGTCTAAAAAAGTGAAACATAATAAATAAAAAGGCAATACTTAAAATTAATTAAAAAGCTCAATAGTTTTTTTCTAAAAGCTACATAAAGTAGCAAGGTACTAGATGGGGTAAAACAAAAGTTTACATGTAAAAAAAATACATCGATTTTGCCAAACTAATATTTCTTTCACCTCTATGCTTAAACCACAAAAATACTATAGACATAATATTATAAAAAATATAGCAGAGGGAGGAAATTTTTGTTGAAAGTTAGCTCATTTCTCGCCTTCCACATGCACAAAACTGCACCATAACAAATTCTTGGAATTGTTTTCGCTTTTTTGGACATCACCCCAACATGTAGCGAAATTGAAGATCTCTTTGACTGATTGTACCACTTAAAGAGGAACATCACACCACTTAACACCCTTACCCAGATGGGTGTCGCGCATGAACATGTAACCAACATGTGATCCACCGATTTGACCATAATCGAAAATATACTACATGTGACAGGGGGTAGCACAACTTTACTATCCCGGAGAGACACAACCGTCAAAATTCAGCCTAAACTTGCTTGCTAAATCAAACATGAGACCTTGATCGGAACATATTTAACCCACTTGAAAGCATTGCCTCCCTAAACAATTAATTTTCTAACAACGACCAATCTTTAGACCTTCCACTGTATATTTATAATCCAAAGCAAAGGAACAATGAAATCAATTCATTTTTGCATGATTCGTAAAAGACCCCACGACTAAGATGAGCCGGGACATTATAATCTCTTCCAAGTTGTTGCTCGTAACTCTTTTCTACGACCACGAAACACCACCCGGAGATATTCTTCGACAAGAAGGCGGTTCTTTGATTTCTATATTGTAGGTTTAGGGAATGGCACCCTTTTTTTGGAAAAACCTCAGAATTGGATCGAATACTCTTAAAGATAAGATTAAGTACATGTCCACATAATGTGGACATGTATGGAAATATTCTTCGACAAGAAGCCAGTTCTTTGATTTCTATAATGTGGACATGTATGTAATCCTATCTTTAAAAGTATTCAATCCAATTCAGAGGTCTTTCCAAAAGAGGGTGTCATTCCCTAAACCTACAATAAGAGAGAAAATCATTTTATTGTTAATGTCAATGCTATTTATGCCTGATGTTGTTTACAATTTAACCATCGAAGCATGGTATTGTTTGCGGTAACCTGTAAATGGAGCCAAATTGCAAGTTATAACTGGTTCTAATGGTTAAATTGAACAAAAAAAATAAAATAATAAATGGTGACGTTTTTGTCGATAGAACCAAAATGTAAGAAATACTTTTTGCAAATTTCACTTTATATATCCCCTATTTGTATCAAACACATTTAGTTTTCAAAACAAAAAATATATATACGGAGATTACCACTATGCAACAAATCAATAAATATAATTAATTAATTTATTCACAATAAAACCTAGAAAATGCTATGACGTAATATTATTTCCATCGATTGTAATTTTCTGCTAAGAAAGACTCTCGCAGGATGAACTCTGCCTTCGTCAGATTCAAAGTTGTGGAAGATGAACAAGCATTGGAAAAGAAACTACAGGGGATCAAACACAAAGGGAAGAGTCTTCTGATTAACTTCTCAACACATCTAAGGAAATCATAGAACCCAACACATACCTGTAAGGAGAAATACAACGCAGAGTGATGCTCCCACAAAACCATACGAGTTAGAGATGGTCGATCGTTTGCACAAGTAATCTCAGGGAGACAAGGGACAAATCCTACTCCTACTCATATTCCCCCCTCCTCCACCCCACCCCCGATGATCATGTTAAATCCACTGACCGAACTCGGAAACTGGTTAAATAGCATATTCTTAATTGGGGATGCACATAGTATCGATCATATGGAAAACTTGCCATCATCACTGTTGTTGTACGAGAAAACAAGGTACCTAGGAGGGTTAAGATTAACCTTGGAATTCGATAGTTTAAAGAAGGCGATTGAGTTTCTTGAAGACCAATCCAGATGGAGTGATTGGTTTAAATGGTTAATCACGGCGGATAAGTACGAATTTCAGTACAAAAGAGTAGCATGGTTAAAGATTATTGGTCTCCCACACAAGCTATGGGGAGAAGATAACTTTTCAACGATTGTCAGCAACTACGGTAGAGTCATATCCCCCTTTAGTGACATAAGAAACAGAAGAGATTATTCCATGGGTAAGGTTGGAGTGTTAACCTTAGAAAAGAAATGGATCAATGATCAAACTACAGCATGTGCTAATGATGAAATATTCAGTATTGGTGTTGTTGAGTATACTGATGATTGGTCCCCGTTTCACCTCGTCCCATATGAAAAAGTTGATGATGAGTCAGACAAAGAAGACGAAGAGGGCGATGAGACAGAGGTGGAAGAGGATGATGACGCAGACGAAGGAATCTCTGATACATGGTTGGGAGGTCAGAATCAAATTGAGGATATGAAAGAAGGTGAGATAACACCGGAATCAAATAGCTCAGGTAATGGTTTGGGCGGGAATGTCTTTCCGATTGGTAAGTCGACGGTCGTCGGAAACGTAATGGTGTCACCGAAGTTCGTGGGAAATGATGCTGAAATTAATGTGGAGGGTTCACCAAAGACGATTGCAATTCTAGAGAACAACTCTGGGGAACTGGCGGATAACGAACAATTAATTCCCCACCCAATTTTTAAATTTGATGCTAAACAGGATATACCGACGGACTCGGAGCGTAGTAAGTTTGGATCAATTAGCAAATTGGTCCCTTTGGGATGCTTTGGGCCTTTCCCGAAATCTCAGCCCAATATATTTTATCACCATGACCAGTCATTGGAGCCCCACTGAAATTATTGTTTAGACAACCACTTGGTAAAAAAAAGAGGTGCCATGAAACAACCTGTGATATTCCTTCGAAACAAACCAACTCACAAACCCCATTGACTTCTACGATGCACTTTAATCCTCCATCTGATATCAATGCGCCCAATCTAAACCTTAATCAGAGCCCTAATTCCGAATATGTTCATGCTGTTGAAGCATCAGAGAGTTCGTGTGTAGATGAAGTGGCTCAAACTGCAAAAATTAGGGAAGAACTTGGATATCAAATTGGTAGCGATAGCAGTATTCTCAATGCGGTCATTGGCGAAGCTGGAGTTCACAATCATGACTAATGAATTTTATGTCACTCAACGTTCGGGGCATTGGGATCGATGCCAAGGTGAAATGGGTAAGGAAATTGAAACTGCAACACTGTATCAACTTCATCGGATTACAGGAAACACAGATCTCCAATTACTCTAATATTGATGTGAAAGGATGTTGGGATGCCACTAAGATGGATTTTGAAGGGGGTGAACTCCACTGGGCGTTCTGGTGGATTGGTCTCAATATGGAACTCAAGACTTTTTAAGAAGTTTAATGTTATTAAGAGTCGCTATTATTTAATAGTTATTGGCTCATGGGTTGGCATTTCGGGGTGTACTATCATTGCAAATATCTGCGGTCCTCAAGCACCATTGGAAAAGAAAGCACTTTGGAGGGATCTGATGCAAACTAAGCAGAATTGGTTTGGAAATTGGCTCCTATTTGGGGACTTTAATGTAGTGAGGCAGAAAGAGGAAAGATTTAATTCCCAATTCTATGAAGCCAGTGCTCATGACTTTAACCAGTTCATTCATGAGGCAGGCGTACAAGATTTCAATATCGGTGGAGAACGGTTCACATACATGAGTAGTGTTGATGCAAAACTACACTAAATTGACAGGTTCCTTGCATGCCCTAATTTCCTATCTTCCTGTCTTGTACTCACAACAACAGCTCATCCCAGATATCTATCTGACCATTGTCCTATTACACTCACATCGGGTAGAAAAGACTTTGGTCCTACGCCATTTAGATTCTTCAGTTCATGGTTATTGGTGGATGGTATTGATCAAGTGGTGGTGAATGCATGGTTTGGATTAAAAGGTTATGGGCCAGCGGATGCTTATGTTGCTGCCATATAACATCCCAAAATTTAAGACCAAAAACAATTCATTTTAATTAAGTTATTATATAAAACCAACAGTATAAAAACATTCATAATGATATCTCATGTCAAAACCAAAGTGTCAATAATCAAAACATATTATCATAAAACCATATCAGAGTGTAATC